TTCATACTGTTATATTTAGGATTTAGTTTTTTCAATAAAAAAAAAATAGGTAAGCAAAAAACGTTATTTTAATTGACACTTGAAACTTACTAAATTTATTATATGTTTTTAAAAGCAAGTTATTCTTTTCACAATATTTTTTAAACTTAACAAGCCATGAAAATATCAGTGATAATATATGGTCATACATAATCATAGATTCATTCATAGATATATGATTATGTATGACCATGGTCATACATACATACATAATCATATATAAACAAATGACATAATAGATTTATATCTGGTTGTGTATAACAGTATAATATGATATATTATAAACATTAAATATGGTTATATATTAATCGTAATTACGACATGGAATGTCATATGTCGCATATGCGTTTAAAATGGGAAGCCGTATATATGGTCATGTATAATTATACATAATCATACATGGAAGTCAATTTTATATAAACTAATGTTATATATATTCATGTATTATCATGCATAATCATATATATAATCATATATTTTCATACATTTTTTTATATATAATCATATATATATATATATGAGCATACATGAATATACATGATTATATATGAAAATTTTTTCCCCGGGTCATCACAATTTTTTTACATTTCTAAATTCCTACCATCATTCCTTGTAAAATGGCTATACCATGTCCTATACCTAAACTTAATAGTTTTTGAGTTATTAATTTTTTTTGTAAAATTCGGTCAGTTTCCCCCTCAACAAAAAGAGCTTATAACTTTTTTATTATTAGGTTTGCTGATATTCGGTTGGATTTATTGGAATCCTGAAGAATTCTTTTAAAGATTCCATGTAATTTATTTTAATATTTTTAAAAAGATACTTGATAAAAAACAATGTGAATGTAGCTAACTTAAAACAGCAATAACTTTTTTATTTTCAATGGAACGCCCTGTATATTTTTACAGTGCTTTAGGATTTCAATAAATTCAACCAAATATCAACAAACCTTATATTAAAAAAGTTATAAGCTTTTTTTGTTGAGGGTGAAACTGACCAAATTTTACAAGAACAATTAATAACTCAAAAAGTATTAAGTTTAGGTATAGGACATGATATAGCCATTTTATAAGGAATGATGGTAAGATTTTGAAATTGTAAAAAAAAATGTGGTGATCCATTTAAAATAACAAAGTTGATATCGCTTCCGTTAAAACCGGAAAAGGAATTTTGTTCAAAATAATTTAGAAAAATAGTTTAAATGATATTATAATTGCTATAAAAATTTCAATTCGATATCTTTTGCCGTTCTCCATAAACGTCTAACCTACCATCGACCGTGATACACCCTGTATATATATTTATATATATAATAAAACTAAATACTGTTACCATTCTCGCTCCACCCTTGTCGGTAAATGGAATCCATTGGAACTAATTAAATTCTTAATAATTATTAAAAACAAAGTGACTAGAAGTACACCGGGAGTACCGCTATTAAAAGTACACCGGGTGGAAAAAAATCCTTATTTAGCATATTTGTCAATTGTATAATATTAAATGGTCGCTCAATGGGGCGGGGGGCCCAATGGGGCGGGGTCGGTTGGGTTGGGTTGTTGAGTTTGGGTTGGTTTGGGTAATTCATACTGACATTTCATTAATTTTGTTGTTAATTGTATTTCAATCACTTAATTAAATTTTAATCAATGTTTATACAACTTGAAAGTTAGCTTAATAATTACATAATTAATATCAAGAGTTAACCAGCTCTTTACCAACTGTTATACAACTGGGCCTTAGTGTACCAATTTAATGTCAACTAATAAATCCGAAATTTTACCATCAGCTGTTATGGAAACACGCATGCGCACAAACCTGATGTACTTTTAATAGCGGTACTCCCGGTGTACTTCTAGTCACGGCGTATTAAAAATGTCTTAATAACATAGTTTAAACTAAAATAAATAAATAACGGTTAACATCTTTACCGTTCTAGACGTAAATTAACCAGGGGTGGGCGCGGTTGGGCGAGCGCCCAACCCAAATTGTTCCCGCCTAACCGCTCGCCCAACCTGCTAAACTAAACATTTGAGCAAAAAATAGATATAGAGAAAAGTAGTTTTTTTAGATTGCTTTCAATATTATAAGTATCTAACTAACCGTTCCAATTAATGATTCAATCAACGTGTTTCCGGAATCACGAATTACAATAAACGTCCAAAAACGCACGCCTCTGAGACCGACGCGGCCTCTGTGGAGAATAACCTATCTCAGCTTGTGAAATATGTTTGGCCAAGATACACCTTAAGATAGGATGGTGCGCATGTTGGGCGGGGCTTAAATACGTCACTTGATGAGTGTTTTTTAATTATCTGCTGCTAAAATTCTTGTTTTTGCGATGCTTTTGGATGTTAACTTGCTCTATTTTTTGTTTAACTTGTTGTTTTTGTGTTCGGTAAGGTTCGAATTACTTTTCAGTGTTCAAATTATTGTTATTGCGTTGTGTTAACCTGTTCTGTTTGTTTATTATTGTTTTTATGTTGCGTTAACTTGTTTTGTTTGTGTTTTAGTTTGTGTCGTGCCATTTGCGTTTATTAAAATGCGGTGTGGCATATTTGAATGCAATTCGGACAACCAGTCCAAGAAAAAACCTTTAAATAAAAACATTAAGTTTTATCGATTCCCGAAAAAGTTTGATTTGTGGAAACAGTGTTATATAATCATGCGTTTCCGTGTAAAATAAACTTTGAAATAATTTCTGTGTTTTTTTTCGTTTTAGTTTGTATTTACATTTATTCACAAATCCGCAAAATATCTATAATTAGTGCACACATGGGTACATTATACAATTTGTAGCTATTATCTGAAACATTACCTAGATACCTAAAACATATTTTTGCTGCCCACAATTCAAATTTTTCTGCCGGGTGTCGCCCAACTGGAAAGAAAAAGCTGGCGCCGCCACTGGTAACTGTCAAAATGAAGGTCATACCACCAACTTATTTCTAATGCCACCATCAGAAGACGCGTCATTGCATCGGATTTGCTTTGTGGAAGACCTTTACTAGTGCCCAGAGTAATGCCAAGACATCAGTGGCGTAGCTAGTTTGTGTAGCTGGCTATCAGACCCAAAAGTCGCGCTCATGGGACGGGGGTTACAATCAAACCCAAAAATGTTATAATATTAAAAATATTTTTTTCTGCATTTGCTTTCTGCGAAGAGATCGATCAGATAATCAAGACTTAAAGCTTGAGCTCTTTCGTTTTCAATGCTCAAAAGAGCCAGGCTACTAAGTCTTGATTGGACGTAGTATTCCTCAAATAATTTTTAATATTTTTAATTTCGAAAACTATCTCTCCGCAGAAGCAGTAGTTACAGGAATTGTTAAAAATAACATAAAGGCAATATAGAAATTTTTAAAACTAACGTTTGCTGTGTGATGATCACAAATCAAGAGTTTGCCGACATCTTTGACAGTGGCACATTCAAGAATGTTAGCCCTAAAAGTAGATCTGAAGTTTAGTATTTCGACTGCAAGCCGTAATCGTTAAACATTTCGGCAGGCGGCATTGCATTTCCGACGTATAGAGCCGGCTTGGTATTCCGAGTTTTAGTTGCGCGCATATATAGACAATAAATATAAGTAATGAAAAGATATAATTAATTTATGTAGGTATTTTGTATTTTAGAACATAAAGGATTTGTAGGAAATAAAGGCTCTATGTTGTATAATTCTAAAGGGGTGAAGGCTGGCGCTACGCCACAGCTAGACATAGACAGTCGCGGTTAGAATGGGCTCAAGATTATCAAAACGGGTTATTGCCTCAATGGTCACATGTTCTCTTCTCGGATCAAACCAGATATATATATCTGGATGAAACAAGTATTTGATTGGTCAGAGACTTGCTTTTGGCAGAGAAGGGGTACCATTTGAAGGCGGAAGTGTTGTTTTGGGGTGGAATCATGTATGAAAGAAAAACTCAACTGATTCATGTTTCTGGCACTACGACTGAACAAAGTAGGTCCAAATTTCATCTTTAAGGATGACAATGCCCGTCCACATCGAACTAGAGCTATCCTAGAGATTCTGCGAAATTGGAAGAATGGATTGGCTACCTCTTTCTTCGGACATAAATCCCATTAAACACGTCTGGGATTATTTATCCAGATTGATTCGTAACCGTTTGAACCCTCCGATAAATGTTCAAGAGCTTATTGTAGCCGTTGTTGAGGAATGGAATAACATTTCTTAAGAATACCTAAATACCCTTATACAGACGTGTTTAATAAAACACTGTTTATGGATTGTTAAAGAACAGGGGTGGCAATACAAGGTACTAAAAAAATAAAGTGTTAAAAGTTCTTAGATTATTTGTACAAACAAATTCGATTTTTATTTTTTTGGCCCCTATCTTCTAATTGTTGTTATTGTTTTTATGTTATAAAACAGTCAATTACTTAATAGAAAGAGGATAGTTTGTTACCAATAAATGCGCTAACATAGATGGAATTACAAAGTGTTGCAGAAGTTTTGAAACTGAGTGTATAGATACATCATAATTCAGGGGAAGGAATAAGCTTTCTTTTAATACTAATAATTAAACAAAATTAAAAGTGTATTTTTTTGAGAAAAGAGTAAAAATAGTTTTAAAATCGATTTTTCTTAACAACATTTTTTTTGCTGTCTATACCACCTTTATCGTAAAGCGCGGAAAAAACTTATAGGATATGTTATTTGTCGATTTAAACAAATTTATGACACCAATGTTAAATTTTGACATAAAGTACGCGTAAAATAAGAAAATCAAATTTTTAAACCCCTGTATGTCTTACGGCAAAGACTGACTCATTTGCTGATATTATCTGCAACCCGTTAGTCTCTGCCGTCACCCCTGCCGGTAACCTTAATAATTTGTATCAAAGTCAAGTGGTGGGACCTTTGGGTGTGGACTTAACCTATAGGGTATATCCTAATTTTGACAGTGTAATATTAATATAGGTATATTAATTATTTGTTTAGTTTTAGAAAATGATCCCATCACCAATGCAGGTTATGGATCAAACTTATCCACAAATGGTGTGATTGAGCTGGATGCATCCGTAATGGATGGAAGAGAATTAGTGTATGGTGGATGTGGAGCAATAAGGAAAATAAAAAATCCCATTGAATTAGCATACGATATTTGCGTCAAACAGTCAAAACCGTTACCTTTAGGATTAATACCACCTTCTTTACTAGTTGGCACTGGTGGTTTAGAATATGCGCGAGGTATAGGATTAAATATAGTAACTAATAAGTCTTTAATAAGCAAAAAAGCATTTAAACAATATGTTAAGTGTAAACATTTGTATAATCAGCAGTCAAATAAGTTGGATACTGTTGGGGCTGTTTGTATTGATGATTCTGGCCATGTTGCATCAGCTTGTAGTTCAGGTAGGTTTTTGATTATGTTTAACTAATATTTCTACATTCTTTCTAATTTTAAACAAATGCTTTGTTTACTTTTTAATAAAATGATTAAAGTTTATTAATTAAATAAATTTAAGACTATAAAAGCGCATAAAAATGTATCATTAGGTTTCGTCACAGATGGTCGTATTTATATATTTTTCCAATATTTTTTTTTGACAAATGAGTTCGGTTTTGTCGCTTGTGGTGTGCGCTTCACTTAATGAAATATCATGAAACATAGACTACTCTTCAACCCAGGAGAGATAAAATTGGATTCACCTGTATACCTGTATTTTGGGACAATATCGCAAGCTTTAACCTTTTAACGATGTATTTTGTGTTATGTACAATAGATTGAGTGGATGTTTCAAGATTTGAAAATTCACATGTCTGTGGGTGGATGGCTTTGAGAAGCGCATGGACGTTAAAACTTGTAACTGGTCAGTAAGAGCTTATTTGACTCCAGACCAATTCTCTCGAAAGAGAATAAACTGTTTTAGAAGGAAAAGAAAATAATTTAACTTAATATCTGACCAGGCGTAGTCAAATCGCTAGCGTCTCTTAAAATATTGTGATGAAAATTTACTGGAGGCTCGTTTTGTCATCTTTAATATTTACTATGTAGCACAGTCAATCTGTAAAAAAATTCGGAAAAATTGACCATATTGATTTTTTTGCATGAATCGTTTTGGGCTTATAAGAAAAGGTTAAAGCCAACTTTGCGTAATTGTACCCCCTGTGGATTAAGGTAAACTAACTCCTTTTTTGGATTTAATATTTTTTTAACGCAGCCCTTTAATTAAGAAAGTTGTTTCTCAACTTTTTTTCCTGCGATAGACTGTTTTGAAGTTTTAGCTTTGTTTAAAATTAGTACAGTAAAAAACGAACAAAAAAATTCTATACAAATTTTATTTAAAAAAAATCTCGTCTCATGAGAAATTTATCTCAGGTGTGTTTCCACAGACCTGAGATATTTTTTTCAACAATGTAACACTTATAAAATAAAATATTATGAGATATTCTCATTGTGGATTCGCACGTATCTCAGGTCTGTTTTCACAACAAAATTTAATTTTTTCTGAAATTTTAAATCATGAGATAAACAGGGTGTTTTACATTCGTGGACCATTAGAAGTTTCTGGGAAACGAAAAAAGATATCGATTTGAAATTTAAAATCGTTCGAGTCAGCATTTAAGTCTATTTTTCTAAACTATTTTAAATAGAACACCCCATATATTTTTACATTCTGTATAAAATTCGGAGTAAAATTACTATACCATGTCCTATACCTAAAGTGAATAGCTTTTAAGTTATTAATTTTTTTTCGTAAAATTTCACAAATGCGTGCAATCATAAATGGCCTATAACTTTTTTGTTATTAGGTTTATGGATATGTCGGTGAAATTTTTAGAATCTTTAAATGTTTAAAAGATTTTATGTAAATTCTTAAACATTTTTTAACAAATTACCTGAGAAAACCCAGGCCAATTTAGGCTAACTTTTTAATTTTAAATGTAACACCCGGTATGTTTTTACATAATCAAATAATAACTTAAAAATCCTTTCGATTGATGTTTCTATTCCCTATTCAGAGAAATTGAATATTTTCTAAAATTTTAAATATTATTTTGTATCAAGAAACCTGTGACAGATGTCATTGTTTAAAATTGAATGGCGTCTATTTTTTAGGTTGTTATAAACAATTTGTTAACCAATTAAGTAGTTGTAAACAATATTATTGATAAAAAATAGCAAGGCCAACATTTTAAAAATTTAAAAGTTATACTAATATATTTGCCAATTAAAAAAAAAAAACTTTACAAAGCTGTAGGATGTCAACTAGATAAAGCACTAGCTCGTTGTAGACAATAAAATGATTATGGGTATGAGTATAAGAGATGTATAACCGGCCCCATTGCCTCATCGCTCCCGGGCCCCGCATAAGCCTCTGTTTCCTTACGCCGATTTTCTTTCGCCACCAGCAACGGCACGGCTTCACTCGTCTTTGCTAGGTGCGAATGTCCATTGCGACCCGTACTGTCCCCTATTTAGGGCTCTAGAGCGAAATGCCAATAGTTTTAATAGCCATTCCCGGGTTCGCCGGGCCGATGCTATACGCCCAGTAGGGTCATGAAGGAGGTAGGACGGGAGGAATAGACATTTTGGTGTTTGGGGGACAATTACGGCGACTCAAATCTAAGTACGACGCGAAATCCCCCTAGACCAGGCAGTTAGTATTACATTTGGAATTACTGTATGGATTTGGGGAGTTGTTATTTTGCTGCAGGGGCCTACGTCTTGGTCTACGTTTTGGTCGTTATTGTTCGTGTCCGTGTCCAAGTAGGATTGTTCCTGCACGTGTGTCGCCTGGACGGGCCGTGTCCGCTGAAAATTCGGGAACCGCTGTACGTCGATTATCTGCCCCACTGTGCGAAACCAATTCTTCAGTCTTGAGGTCGAAAACTATCGATAGATAGTTCAGTAGTCGGCCATGTAACTATTTATAGTTATCGATAGCTTTTGACGTTTTTTTTAATTGTTTATTACCGCAGTAGTACGAACTTTCTAACCATTTTTAGATATTGTGTTGCCCAAGCACGTTAGTAATTTTTGCTGAGTTTGGATTCTCAGTGTCTGTTTATTTTTGTCTCGTTTGGTTTAATGTTGGGGCCGTTCTCTTAAATTAATGGGTTTATTACGCGTTTGTTGATGACAGATTTATTGTACTACTCAGCTTTCGTGTAAATGACCGTAGGATGGGGCGGTTTTGTTTTTTGTTATTTGTCTTTATTTTTGGTGTTGGCTTACTACTGTCTTACTAATGTTAGGGGACATTCATTAATTACGTGAGGCAGTTTTCTGATAATTTGGACCCCTCCCTCCCCCTTGGTGAGATTTGGTAAGATGTGGTAGACCTCCCTCTAATAGAGGGCCTCAATCCCTGACGTGAGATTCTAGCCATAAAACTTTTATTGCGGACATGATAAACCCAAAAAAATGTATTACTTTTTTGACAAATTTCAATTATAATACTTCTATTCTTTGAACCCAAAACTTGACGTGGGATTTTAACATGAGATTTTGCTAGACCCCTCCCCCCTATTTTTATCTCACGTAATTAATGGGTGTGCCCCTACTATTGTTACTCATGCACTTAGTTTATTTTATGTTTTTTTCTGTAGTTTAAGAAGAGTTAACTGTTGTGTCCAGTGTTGTAAATTATGTGTTAGGTCATCCTCTCTTAGTTGTCCTCTTTTGTTTTTCTTGTGAAAATCGTCCAATTGAGCGTAGGGTAGTCTCTACTCACTATAGATGTTACACTATAGTTTATCACTTTAGTAATTATTTGTGAGTTTTAGGCTTTTATGTTTTAAGAGGTCGCTATGCGAGACGTCTTGCTATGTCGAGTTATTACAGTCGCGACTAGTCGTCAGAAAATGAATTTTTAAGAATTTGATACTTTGAGTGGCTGTACAAGCTAAACTATAAGTGATACAGAAAATTATTTCTTAATAAATTTGTAGGTCACAAAATTACCTACAAAATTGTCATTTACGTTTTTTATCTACAATCAGTACTTTAGTCTCCCAATTCGATTTACTGCTATTTTAGAAGATTTTCGAGTAGAACGGCAATTTGTAAAGAACATATTCAACTTACAAACTTGCTTAAATGAACATTTTTAAAGATAATTTCAACCTGTATAAAGATTTTAAAACCGAAATTCTAAAAAACGAGCGGAAGGAGACATTTTTTTAATGGTTTTTAAAAATTGAACAGCAACGGCTTAAAATAAAGATTATAAGAGCATTGTAATACAGGGTTCCCCATAATAGACTACCCATTTTATTTTATTAATAAATTCCCTACGAGATAACTAAATAAGTTGTTCTCTATGGGAATATCTTCTATAGTCTTTGGGATTTAAGTTAATTATTAATCAAGTAGGCGCCTGTAACAAATAAGTTTTAAATTAATAATTTCCTGGAACGTCATTTTTTCTACGAGAAGTTTGTTAGTTTTCATCAATAATTATTGATGTTATTTAATTTTTTTGCTTTGAGACATTATTTCAACATCCGTTTGAACTTTCATGGATTACTCAGTCCAACTACGTGTGTTTTGTGTAGAAACTTACATAAGAAGCAATTTGATAGAAGAATTCTAACTTAAGTTAGGCGTGCATTCCGGCGTCAGTTTAATAACAACAATAGAGGTCACGCGCCAAAACGTAAAACTGTTAAGTTATGGGTTCGTCATTGGCGTGAAAATGGTTCTGTACAAAATTTGAAAAAGCCTGGCTCGTACACCAGAAAATATTGAAGAATTGCGTTTACGACTTTACCACTTTTTATCTAATATTAAAAAATGTGTTGAAGTTGGTGGAGGTAATTTATAAGACGTGATTTCTAATTAAATTAGCCAAATATTTATAAGTTATCATAAATCCCAAAGAGTTAGCTGTAATTTAGTATAATAAAAAGTTTGTTTTGTTAACTAAAAAATTTTTAATTCAAATTTTAAAATGGGTAGCCTATTATGGGGAACCCTGTAGCTCAAAATTTTTGTTTTCTGACCGGTTACAAAATTTTCAGGTGGGACTTTGAAAAAAAAATGTTGCTCTAAAATGAAGCATCCTAATATATTTATATACATATATAGTGTGTACTTAAGTTGGCAACATATGGGACACTTTTTTATTATAAATTTTAAGAAAAAAAGTTATTCTTCATAAAAAGTTCTGCATGTTCTAAAATCTTAAATACAATTATCAGATATAAAAAAATTGTTTTCGTATACGCGGTTGGGTTTGTCAAAATATATTAATCTTACTCAAGAGTAAAGTACCTTTATATTTGACAATATCGAAAATTCCTATTAAAAAAAGTTGATCAGAACTAAAAACCACCTTCAAATATGCAATTACTTCGATTTACATGGAAAATCATGTTTTTTTTGTTTACAATAACAATGCAACTGTAACTGTACTACATGTAATCTAGGATGCTCTGACAAACAAATGATTTGTTGATAACATGAAATGTTTGACATTGAATGTCAAAACATCAGAATTAGCTTATTACTTTCTGAGCGGAACGGGAAGGTTATCATGTTTGTAATAAATAAAAAAGATAAATGTTCGGTGTCGGTAATTTGAGAAAAATTTGTAAAAATGTTTCCGAACTTTTGATAATTACAGTTTTCGATGATTTTTAGATTTTAGAACATGCAGAACTTTTTATAAAGAATAACTTTTCTTCATAAAATTAATAATAAGAAAGTTTCTCATATGTTGCCAACTTAAGTATACTTATAGTCTATAGACACACTGTATTTCCTTGAGTTATTTACTATCAGTCTCAATAGGGTAAATGTAGAAGTTATGGTGTACCTGTAGGTAATTTCCTATACATTTTATATTGATAAATATATATTTAAATTGATATTCAAGGAGGATTATTATTGAAGAGACCTGGCAGAGTTGGCCAAGCAGCATTATACGGAAGTGGAGTGTGGGCGGACAGTTTTATCAAAGAGGAGCCCTGTGTAGCAGTTTGTACCACTGGCTGTGGAGAACACTTGGTTCAAACGCAACTAGCCAAAGAAATCTCCATTGATCTTAAAAATGAAACCTGTGTAACTACAGGTCTACATAAAACTATGACTGATAAGTTTCTGAAGTCAAGGTTTTTAAGAAATGTCAATCAAAAGTTGGGCGGCGCCTTAGTTTTGCATGCAAACACCGCCAGAGATGAAATAGCGGTCCTATGGGGGCACAGTACTCAAACTATGAGTTTGGGGTTTATGTCTAAAATGGATAGATACCCTACTGTAAGTTTCCCAGATTTATTGTGTTTAATAAATGTTGACATGCTACTTTTTGATTTAATTTGTCAGAAATATTTCAACCCTTATTTAAATACTCCCACTGGGAAAGAAACCTTACAAAATATTGCTGCAATGTTCGCCGGCTTTACAAATAAAATATTTCCTGTGCTACTGGCATTAACATAAATGAAATGTTACATTTGAAATATTGCATATAATAATTTCCAACAACCTTAAATTTTAAACATTATTTAAAGATTCACATGGAAAGTTTTTACAATGTTATATTTGTAACATTTAGTATAAAATGTTGCATACAAGTTTTTAAACATTACAATAATTATTATAATATTGCAGACATAACTTTTTTTCAATGTTTCAATTGAAATATTAACACAAGTTTCAAATGAAAAATGTTTGCAACTTTACTTTAAATATACAATAGAAACATTTATTTTGGAATGTTTAGGAATATTTTTAAAACATTGCAATTATTATATTACATTGATAAGTTTTGGGCAATGTTTCATCCGAAATATTACATTAAGATAATTTTTGCAATGTTACTTTATATAAGCAATATAAACATTTAATTTGCAAGATTTTTAGAACATTGCAATTATAATATTACATTGATAAGTTTTGGGCAATGTTTCATCCTAAATATTACATTAAGATGATTTTTGAAATGTTGCTTTATATAAACAATATAAACATTTAATTTGCAAGATTTTTGGAACATTGTAACTATAATATTATAATGTATACATTTATATTTATAACTTTAGTTTTGGACTATGTTTCATCCGAAATATTGCATTAAGATAATTTTTGCAATGTTGTTTGCAGACTGACTTGCCGATGCATCTCGCCGCTGTCTTGGTCATTTATATCTTTATAAGTGAACATTGCCGAGCTTGATGCGTGTCTCCCGTCACCGACTGCCTGACACTGATGAGACCAAACAGGTCGAAACAGTCTGTTATTTATATATAATAGGCCTATAGCTTACGGATAAATAATTATAATTAATTATTATAATAATAATTCATATTAATTTAATTGCAATGTTCCTGTAATGTTGCAGGAACCTTTCTTTAACAAAAATAACATTTAATAACATTGCAATTAATACATTTAAGCAACATTTTATTTGTAAATGTAATGTTTCTGAACCATAAGACTTTGTTGCAATGTTCCTGCAACATTGCCACAAGGTTTTTTGTAACATTATACCTATCAAATGTAATGTTGCAGGAACCTTACATTAACAAAAATAACATTTAGTAACATTGCAATTAATACATTTAAGCAACATTTTATTTGTAAATGTAATGTTCCTGAGCTGGACATAAGGTTTTGTTGCAATGTTCCTGCAACATTGCCACAAGGATTTTTGTAACATTACATCTAACAAATGTAACGTTCAGTAACATTGTAGAAATATTATTTTTCCCAGTGGGCTAATTAGTACAAATAACAATAAAGTTGTTTTGGCAGAATTGAATACATTGATTATAGTTTGTATAATTAATTTCAAAATATTTTAGAGAGTTAAATTTATAAAAATAATATTTTTTAAGCAAAGTCAAATGTTAAAAAATCTTGTTTAGCATATTTAATCTCTGGACAATCTTCAAAAATTATAAAATTAAAATTTGAGTTTTTAGGGATTAATCTCAGAATTACCCAACGAAGCACTAGCAGGAGATACAATTAATGTGGGAGGAACTTATTTTTACAATAAAATAAACACTGAATAGTATAAGTTGTTTTATTTATACCATTTAACTTAAATTTGGTGATAATTATATAAATGTATAAAAGTTACAAAATGTGCAAAAATTACGAGTACTTAGGATAAAGTATAAAACAATATTTTTTTTATATTCATCCTTAATAATTATGACTACAAATTATTTAGTATTTATATCTAAACTAAACTTATTTTCGTTGAATAACAATCACCATTTTAATAGCAATTTATCACAAAGAAGAGTTTTAAATAATACTGAAAAATTCAATTTCAATAATAAAATTAAGTACATACATAATTCAAAACAATAAATAGAAATACTGATAATTTAAAATATTTACAAGTACCAAATTAAAAATAATGATTGTTATAAGAACTGGTTAATTTTTTGTGCCATAATACATATTAAAACTTAAAAGCTATATAAGGCATTAAAAGGCAATTGAAGACCAAGAATTTATCAAAATGGTTAACTTTAAATACAAGGGAAGGGAATTTCACAGCAACAATTTATTTAGGGGTGCAAAAATTACGTGCTAAATGAAAAATTATATAAGTTGTATGTTGTATTGTAAATCTTATTTGATTTTAGGTAGTTAGTACGGCGGTAGTTAATTTACAAATTTACAGAATGTAACAGTATACCAGACAGTATATTTTAAGTATACAAAAATTATAGTCTTTGACTTATTAAGCATTTAAGTGTTCTTACTGTGTGATATGTGTGATGTGTCACACATCTAAGAAAGGTTGTTATGATACAAAATAAACAATGCATCTAGCAGCTATTTAAATTTAACATAGTTGGCAAGTGTATTTTCTGACAGTTTGTGTTAAAAAACCCAAACTTTAAATCATCATAACTTTGTATTTTTGAAACGTCATTAGAAAATTGTGTTTAATCCCTTTATACAAATTAATATTCTTAAATAATTAAATTATAAAAACTATTTGTTGTATTTTCTTTTACTTAAAACAACCCCCCTTCAATGTATACCACTACAGAAGTTCTTCTTTGAGACCACGTTAGAGCGCCATTTTAAGGACACCCTTTTGGTTGGTTATAATATCCTTTGTTTGAAAGATACTTAAATTGTATCAAAATAGTAAGATGGATTAAAAATATTCCCTGTAATATAATACAACCTATATAATTTTTGCAATATAAATATAATGTTATGTATAATCATATGATAATGTTATGTATAATCATGTGATAGTATAATATTCAGGGTTCCCAGCATTGTTTTGTACTTTTTTTTATGATTTTATGACAAATTTTTCAAATTTTATGACAAGAGTTTATTATTTCTAAAGTTATTTAATAAAATAAATGTAATTTTTTAACGGTTTATTATATAAAAATAAATATTTTTTCTCGCATCAAAATAAATATTTCTGCTATATTTTTAATATATGTTACTTTAGTATTTTATTATAATAGGTATTATAATCTCAAAATAAATAAAACTAGAAAGGTATACAAATCTGAAATATTGGAGGCTCAAACAATGATTAACATGGGTCTCAAAAAAGCAAAAAAAAATAGTATACCTATAGGTACTATTTTTTTGCTTTTTTAGACCCATGTTAATCATTGTTTGAGCCTCCAATATTACAGATTTTTTAAGAGTAGTTATGAAGTTATTGTTAAGGTACTTCAATAATTTCTTATTTCCTTCAGAAATAATATTTCTTGTTATTTTTAACTCTGCTTCCTTACTTGCCAAAATAGTATCAATTTCTTCAAGTCCTTCTTTGTGCCTTCCTTAGTAAAGTAATATAGTATAAAAATAAATTTACGGTTCTCATTATTTATTTCAAATTTAAAATTCATTTCCTCACCTAACTTCTTTTTCCTTCATAGTATGAAGTTCATACTTCAACAACCAAGGCCATATTTAAAACATTCTATTGCGTTTTATTCTACAGGACCGGCTTTAAATTTTATTTTACAAAATTTCCATTTTATAAAAAAGATCAAAGGTGAGAAAATTGTTAAAAAATAATTAAATTTTATGATTTCTATGACAAAATGTGAATTTTATGACATTTTAGGACAATTTAACCAATTTTATGATATTTAAAAATTTTATGACAAACGGGAACCCTGAATATTATACTATAATATATTATATATATAATATATATTCAGGGTGGGCACGAATTAATTCATATTAATTAAGTCAGTGATTTAATTAGCGAATTAATTCAAATGACTTTTTTTTTAAAGTCACGAATTAATTCAATTTTTTTATAATGGAAACAAATTGTATTATCAACTTTAATATATATATATATATATACATATATACAGTATGTCTCAGTATCTTGGAATCATATGGAAAACTTTTTTATTATTAATTTTAGGAAAAAAAGTAATTCTTCATAAAAAGTTCTGCATGGTGTAAAACTTAAAATGCAACCCACAAATAATATTTTTTTTTTAGTCGTATACAGGGTATGTCAAAAAATATGAATTTGGCTCAGGAGTAAAGTACTTTTATATTTGACAATATCGAAAATTGTTATAAAGAAAAGTTAATCAGAACTAAAAACTACGTTCAAATATGCAATTACATCCATTTACATTAAAAAAAATATTTTTTCTTTTTTGTCTACAATATCAATGCAAATTTAACTGTAACTTGTAATCTAGGATTCACTGATAAACAAATGAATTGTTGATATTCTAAAACTTTTTGGCCTGCTAGATCCCCTGACTTAATTTAAGGTTTTCATGTTTTTTCTAACCATAACATCATTTAAAATAGAAAGATTAGTAAAAATAACAAAACCTAATTTTTTAATGTAAATGTATGAAATTGCATATTTAAACGTAGTTTTTAGTTCTGATTAACTTTTCTTTATAACAATTTTTGATATTGTCAAATATAAAGGTACTTTACTCTTGCGCCAAATTCATATTTTTTGACATACCTCGTATACGACTAAAAAAAATTAATATTTGTGGGTTGTATTTTAAGTTTTACACCATGCAGAACTTTTTATGAAGAATAACTTTTTTCCTAAAATTAATAATAAAAAAGTTTTCCATATGATTCCAAGATACTGAGACATACTGTATATATATATATACAGGGTGTTAAGTAATTAATGTAATATATTAAAATGGGTAGTTCCTTAGGGTCCATAAAGAAGTAAACTTTTTTCTTTTAAATTCTAGACTAAAAATAATTTATAATAACCTTTATCCTACCAAAAAGTACGCAACTGATCGATTTTTTATTATGTCATTTTTGTAATGAAGGTACCTAAATTCAAAGAAAATCTGGCAACTTTTATGACAGAATATAGTGCATTTCTTTCAAATTTTAGGTTATGTGCTCAAATGGAAATATCTTAAATAAAGAAAGTGCTTTTGGATTTATTTACACAAATTGAATGTTTAAAGTTTAACCTGTAAACTTGTCCTAATTTCATCTGAGTAAACAGAAAAAAAAAATCGATGAAAAAAATAATTTTGTGTTTATAGAGTTTTTAAAATTTTATCATTGCTTAAGAGCCATTCCACGCGTAACGGATAGGACAGTTGCCGTGTTTTTATTTACAAAATAATATTGTTCTATTATATTACTAATGTCAAATTTTTATAAATAGTTCTAAACTAAAGCTGTTTAACAAGGTTTTTATTTGGCAAAATTAGGTATCGTGGTTGACTGTTTAATTCCTTAAAACTAATAATTTAAAGCCTAACGGACGGGACTTCGTAATGGTCCCGTCCGTTACGCTTTAAATTATTAATTTTTAAGGAATTAAACAGTCAATCACGATACCTAATTTTGCCAAATAAAAACCTTGTTAAACAGCTTTTGTTTAGAACTATTTATAAAAATTTGACATTGGTAATATAATAGAACAATATTATTTTGTAAATAAAAACACGGCAACTGTCCTATCCGTTAAGCGTGGAATGGCCCTTAAGCTAATAGCTGGATGAGTAAATAAATACAGAAGGCTATTGAAGCTTTAAGGCCATAAAACTTTTGTATTTATTGAGTTTTTATTTATTTTTTGCAAAAAAAATGTTTAGTAACCATTTTTTACAACTGGCAACGCGAAGCTACTTTATTGGTTGGTATCTATGAATTCACAGAACACAAGTGTGTAACCAGTGGCGTATCACAAAAAATATAAAAAACTTCTAATGCATATTTTTTCATTATCTTAGAGAAAATATATTTTTTTAATTTTTCCGTTACACCTATGTCAAAAGATATTCAGTATTTTAATATATTACATTGATTACATATATGTAGTATATGCATAACTCCCTGTATAAAACAGCCTAATTAATTGTTTTTTATAAATAAATCGGCGTTTTTATGGCTAAGATTTTTGAAGAAAATGAAAATTTGTTTTTTTTTTGTTTTTTTGTGTTGTGTTTTAGTAAGCAAAAAAAAATATGTGAATTAATTCAAAAAAGTCTGATTTAATTCATAAAGTCGGACTTTTTGACTTTTTTATAAAAGTCATGACTTATTTCAACCCTGGGGGCATTCTTTACCAGTCTAGACGACTTTTGACCCCGACCCCTTTTGATTTGGTTGAAACATTTTTCAGACATTTTATCAAATTATCAATTTTTTACCCAAAAAATATTTACTTTTTCAAAAATTCTGAAAAATGTTTTTGATAGGGTAGAAAAAGGTTCCGGCAAATCAAAAGGGGTCAGGGTCAACATTTGTCGATTTGATACAGAATGCCCCGTATTTTAATTATAGTGAATGAATTTTATACGAGAATTTGGTAATAAAATTTAAGTTTTAAAATCAACTTACAAAGTAGTTACGTTTAATAAACTTAAAAGAGATCATTTTTTTCTCCCATTTGTATACAATGAGGTAGGTTATTTAATTATTGTCATTTTTATATAATATAAAAATAAAAACCATTGGCAAGAACTGGAAGTAAAGAATATTATTACTGGTAAAAAACATAAACGTTTAAAACGGTAAGAATCCATCACATACTAGGTTTACTTAAATAAATAAAATTTGTTATTTAAACGCAACCATACTCATACCAAACGGCTGTTTCCTTGGGATTTTCTGGTTTTTTAGGTTCTGGGGTTTCCTTTATCGTTTCTTCCGGTATTTTTGATTGTGGACTGGACGTTTTTGGTACTTCTCCTATAACAGTGGATATTCTATTGTACACCAACATAGGAGGTGGGTTATTTAAGACCCCTTGATTGTTTGCTGGAGGGGGCGCAATTGGAGTTGTATCTTCCTCGGAAAGGTAAACTGTTCGCCTTGAACCAACAGAACCTAGACTAAGGGCACTTCCAGGTTCCCTGTTAAACACTTGGTCACCTAAAATAAATTGTGATTAACTAAAAAACGAAAGGAACAAATTAGAATAATGATTTTTTTATCATTCTAAAAGAACGTGCCTAGAGTCCCAAACGCGGGATCGCTTGAAAAAATAAAAATAACAAGAGGTGTTGCCTAATGATAATATTTTCAATTCAATTTTCGATCTCGGTACCATTGTTACGAAATATAAATTCCGAACTCCTATGTATATGTGATGCGGAATTAGCAAGAGTTCGCTAGTACTCGTGTGTTTAGGTAAACAATACGATTTTTCCAACTGTTTTGTGAAGTTAAAGTAACAGATTCATTATTTTTGAAAACCGTTCAATAACAAATGATCTATGTTCGCGTAATTATTCATCTCTTGAAGAATGTCAAAAAACTGATTGATTATTAAAGTTATTTTGTCTATTTCCATAGCTACCAAGAGGCCTATAATACGAATCTTCTGCGAAAAATCGAAAAAAGTTGCCTTCAATCGGTACTAAAGCATAGCAAAAAAAACTTTTCCTTCAAATAAGACCACAACACAGATTCTAGCTTGCTTGCTGAGAAATTTCGCTTCAAAATAATTTCAACCGTGTTTTATATATTTTTTCTTAAAATGTAAAAAGAAATCTTAACTTTATTGGTTATCAAATATATTTAAAATACATACCTGCCACGCTGTTTCTGTGGGATAAGTCTCTATGCGATCTTCGGAGACTAACTTCATCTCTAGGTTTATGGCTGTATAAGCTACCGCCAATGTTTCTTTTAAATGGTTCACTCCGGTGCCCGGATTCTTCCGCGCTATTGTCAGAATCGTTGCCAGCGGATTCGCCTGATCCACCTCCGAGTGTGAATTGGGACTGCGTTAATCTTGCGGTGTCTTCGTGCCAGGATCGTCGGTTCTAAAATGCAATATAAACTGTCAAACCTCATAGTTTAAAATTAAAAGTTGCACTCACCCTGCTTGGTACTTTATTTATTATGTCTGAACCGGCTTTGCGAACTCTTCTTACCAGAGTGGCACCAAAACTTTTTCTAAAAGAAAATATCGTTAAAATATGCTACGGCCATGGATATTTTTTACTATAGCTTGTCATTCTTAAAACAATCATGTAATTTGGTCCACACCTTTCTTAATGTACCAATATGACAAATAATTGGGGTTTTTTATTTGTCAGTTTAACGCTAATTTCGTCTTATTTATTGAAAGTGATACAATATACAGTCCACAGATGAGGTTAAAAAAAGGAAAATAAATATTTTACTTTTCTCATTTTTATTGTCTCTATTGCCTCAAGAGCAATCGTTTCTATTGACATGTTCAAAGCTTTTACTTTTCAACTCATTTTTTATCGGCATTTTATGTATTTTTTATATTTTTTCATAAATAAAAATTAATGACATCCGTAGAGAATTCTCCAAAGATTTTTACCTGCTGTGAAAATAACATTCCTTTGTTAAAAAGAAAATGACAAATGAACAAAAACTGACCAAAAATGATTTTTATCAAAAACATTTCAATTCAAATTTTTCAGAAAAATCAAAATTGCAAATGCACTATAGACAATAACAATGATGTGTCGCTAATTCTGGGGGTTCAGGGCGGACCGTTGACTTTGGGGGCCCTGGGCTAAAAATCTTTGGGGGCCATTTACAATACATATATAAATAAAATATTTTAGCATTTATACAAGGGGTCTAGAGAAGACCTGTACAATCATTATGCAAGGCCACATATTTCTTGGTTTAAAATAATTGGACTTAACCCAACTTACCTAAATAAAAATTTCTTTGTTTAGCTGCCAGCGGCCTTTAAAGTATGTAAAAATATATACTGCAGTATATTACACTGATTAACAAAAATCAACTATTTTTTTATATAAAATTTTATAGCCTCATGAGCCTATTAAAATATCACCCATTATTATTATTGGTTGCTAATCGCGATTTTACATTTAAATTAAGTAGGTAAATGAGATTTTTTTTATTTTGGAATTATATTACTCGTTAACGGATTAACCCATACCGCACAAGATGTCTATTGGACGTCAAATGGACTTACATTGGACGTTTGGATGTACAATGGTCGTCCGCTGGACGTCCAATGGATATATGTGCTGTCTGGGAATGGACTAAAAAAACTATTTTAGAGAATTAAAATAAAGTTCACTTATTATTTTATGATAAATCTACTCGTTCAAAAGTTATTTAAGACTTAAGGCAAATTCATAGCAAATTTTAAGTTTTTCTTACTTTCCCGGTAAAACTATCAGACTTTGGAGATCATTTTATTTTCTATAAAAATTAGTAATTATTTTTTATGTTTTATTTATGATTTACTGGTTTTACCAGTATAAATACAAATATTTTCTGCAATAAAATTGATATTTTCTTGAAATTAACTAGTATTTAAATAAGAATTATTAATTTAAGTTTATAAGTTTTAAAATTATAAAATTACACAATTTAAAAAAAAATAAGATGATCAACCAAAGTCACATAACTTTTTGTTATAAGTCTGATAGTTTTAGCGGAAAAGTGAGAAAAACTTGAAATTTACTTTAAATGTAATTTTAAGCTTGAATAACTTTTGAACAAGTATATTTATTTTAAAACAATAAGAGACCTCTTTGTAGAGCGTTTACTTTAAATAATATAATAAAATTATATTTTTAAAATATGTTGTTTTCACTAAGTCCATTATTCCGTTAAAAAGATATATAATTCACAAGTTAATGTTTTCCATGCTATTTAAATGAAAAATTAGAAAATCGCGATGAGGAGCCTCTTTATAATAATTTGAAGAGCTGAAATTTTAACAGGCTCAATCAATTTATATTAAAAAAAAAATATTTGCATCGCGTAAGGGGGCCCTGGGCTGCAGCCCATAATGCCCATGCCTAAATCCGCCCATGTGGGGGTTTGAAATCAGGCAAAAAGAATAATATTTTTTTTTAAATGTGCATTTAATGTATGTTTTTTGTTGTAAATTAAAAACCTATATGTATATATGGTCAATTCTCATATAACTTGTTCCGATGCTGTATCCACTTATTTTTGTGAAAACTAATTCTCGCTCAAGGTTTTTTTTAGTGTAATAAGCATGTAGCATTTCAAGGTAATGGGAACTTAAATTATGACAACCCTAATCTATTAATTTTTTCCTAAAATGCAGGCTTTATGTTGCAAATGTCACATAAGTTACCGGTCACCAACTGCAACATCCTAACATCGATGAATATTTCAACAAAATGGCCGTTCAAACAACTAATGTTAGTGCTTGATTAACTAAAAATAGACTTAAGATTGACAAAAAATTATTTTATCCGAAATCGGCAGTAAAGTAGTCAACAATCGTAAATTAAAATAAATCGGCAGTAAAGTTCTACTTTACTGCCGATTTCGGATAAAATAATTTTTCGTCAATCTTAAGTCTATTTTTAGTTAATCAAGCACTAACATTAGTTGTTTCAACAGCCATTTTGTTAAAATATTCATCAATGTTAGGATATTGCAGTTGGAGACCGGTAACTTATGTGACATTTGCAACATAAAGCCTGCATTTTAGGAAAAAATTAATAGATTAGGGTTGTCATAATTTAAGTTCCCATTACCTTGAAATGCTACATGCTTATTACACTAAAAAAAACCTTGAGCGAGAATTAGTTTTCACAAAAATAAGTGGATACAGCATCGGAACAATTTATATGAGAATTTACCATATACAGGGTGTCCGGGAAAATGTGGGAAATCTCTCGGATTCAGATAGAACATGAAAAAATAAGGTGACACGTTCCTATAAATTTTTTTCCTACTGGCCATCCTTACGGAGACATGGGCCCCGAAAGGACTCCCCTGCAAATTGGTTTTCCTTGAATAACTTTTAAAGTACTAAATATAATTTAATAAAAATTTAATACGATGGACCCTGGTAAGGACCTCTTAAAATAGTGTCATTGAAACATGTTTTGCTTTTTTTGTTTACCAGGGGCGGACTAAGTTTTACTTTTTAATCCGTAAATTTTAAACACCCCGTATGACAAAGACTTAAAAAAACTAAATCTGCATAGCTTGAACCTTAAACTAAAATAAAGGTACTCTTGTTTATTGTCAATAAAATGAACCGTATCGAGAAAAAGAATATAATGTATTGTTGCAAACCTTAAATTGAAGGACGATAATTCGAAACAATTAATTAAAAACTTTATAAGAGGGTTCAACATGGGTTCCGTGAACTCTGATATATTCGTGGGCACGACGATTGAGGACTGCTGTACCCGCCAGAATAACCCAGAATTGTTTCTTATCATATCACAATAAAACGTGATTATCTGTAGTTCCTCCCTAGTATCTATCGGAGTGGAATACACCAAGTTTTTTTAGGTATCCCCACAGGAAAAAATCCATCAGCCTAAGGTCGGGAAATCGAGGAGGCCAGTCAATAGGTCCTCCTCTACCAACGGTTTGGATAAACGTTATTCAAGTGCTCCCTCACAGCAACGCTGAAATGAGGTGGTGCCCCATCGTGCAAGAAGTACATGTTTAGGCGGGTTTCAAGTGGTAAGGGCTCTATCTAAATCCCGAAAAGCGTTTTGGAGAAACTCCAAAAAAGTTGTCCATTCAATCGTGCCAGCAATACGAATGGTCCAATCAAAATATTGCCAATGATTCCTGCCCACGTATTAATTGGTTGGAACTGATGTTGAAAATGCGAAACAATAGTGGCATGAGGATTTTCATCAGCCCATACATGTGTTACCTTTTGTGGTAAATCCTGCTTCATCCGTGAAAACAAAACTTTTTTTAGAAACGTAGGTACCTAAAATTATGAAGGAAGTCAATATTATTACTTTAATAAATGAAATTGTTCACCATTCTCTTCTTATTATTCGAAATCAGAAGACATTTTAACGAATTGACCAACATATTAGAGAGAATGGTGGACAATTTCAGTTATTAAAGTAATATTATTAACTTTCTTCATAATTTTAGGTAAGTTTAAAAAATATTTTAAATGCTGTAGATGACACTCCTTTAACGAGCACTCGAAAATTATCAGCACAGTTTAATACGTCGAAAACAATAGTGCATGATGTTCTTTAAGAACAGCTGTTATATCCTTATCATATGCAAAAAGTGCATAAACTTAATTCTGAAGATTTTCCTTGTAGAATGCAGTTTGCAAACTGGCTATTGGATCAGCAACAAAATAATGTAAACTTCATTAGCACTATTCTTACCAGCCCTTACCACTTGAAACCCGCCTAAACATGTACTTCTTGCACGATGGGGCACCACCTCATTTCAGCGTTGCTGTGCGGGAGCACTTGAATAACGTTTACCCAAACCGTTGGATAGGTAGAGGAGGACCTATTGACTGGCCTCCTCGATTTCCCGATCTTAGGCTGATGGATTTTTTCCTGTGGGGATACCTAAAAAAACTTGGTGTATTCCACTCCGATAGATACTAGGGAGGAACTTCTACAGATAATCACGTTTTATTGTGATATGATAAGAAACAATTCTGGGTTATTCTGGCGGGTACAGCAGTCCTCAATTCGTCGTGCCCGCGAATGTATCAGAGTTCACGGAACCCATGTTGAACCATCTTATAAAGTTTTTAATTAATTGTTTCGAATTATCGTCCTTCAATTTAAGGTTTGCAACAATACGTTATATTATTTTTTTATGGTCCTTTTCATTAAAAAATAATACATGAATTTGTTTATTATTCTTTTTCTCGAAAACGGTTCATTTTATTGACAATAAACAAGAGTACCTTTATTTTAGTTTAAGGTTTAAGCTATGCAGATTTAGTTTTTTTAAGTCTTTGTCATACGGGGTGTTCAAAATTTAAGCATTAAAAAGTAAAACTTATTCCGCCCCTGGTAAACAAAAAAAGCAAAACATGTTTCAATTAAACTATTTTAAGAGGTTCTTACCAGGGTCCATCATATTAAATTTTTATTAAATTATATTTAGTACAGTTGTATTCAATAAAAAAGCGTACAAGAATTAGAATGAGAGAAAACTGTCAAAATAATATTATTGCTTATCACTGACATAAGTCATTAAAATAATTACTATAGGTTATAAAGAGCATTGACGTCGTAGGTTAATTAAATAATATTACAAAAATTATTAATTTTTAATATAGATTTTTTATTTCTATTATACCACGGTACGAATTGACCATTCTTCTTCGATTCTTGATACTATTTGAGCCATAGATGAGCCTTTTTAACTGACGAGGCATTTTTATTTTCTACTGTCAGTTATAGTGACTTAAGTCAGTGGAAAGCCGGTTTTACGCAATAATGTTGACAGTTTTCTCTCATTCTAATTCTTGTACGCTTTTTTAATGAATACAACTGTACTTTAAAAGTTATTCAAGGAAAACCAATTTGCAGGGGAGTCCTTTCGGGGCCCATGTCTCCGTTAGGATGGCCAGTTGGAAAAAAATTTATAGGAACGTGTCATCTTATTTTTTCATGTTCTATCTGAATCCGAGAGATTTCCCACATTTTCCCGGACACCCTGTATATATATATATATCTGCGCTTCAAATTAAATGAAAAAACATAACCACAAATTCATTTATTCATTCATTTTTGTTTGCCTCAATAAAGGGGTGGTTTTGAAAAAAAAAACATTAGGAAAAACCGAAAGGAACAGCCGGAAAATCAAAAAAATCCAAATTCGTATAACTTTAAATTAATTTAAATAGATGGCGTTCGTAGCTGCGCTTCAAATTAAATAACTATTAATACAGAGGTGATTTAAATAAAAAATACATTAGAAAACCAAAATTCGTACAACTTTGGATTAATTTGAATAGATGGCGTTCGTAACTGCGCTTCAAATTAAATGAAAAAACATAACCACAAATTCATTCATTCAATTGTTTTAGCTAGAAATTAGTTTAAATAGTAAAATTCTCAATTGTTTAAATTAGTTTAAATAGTAAAGTTCTCAAGGTAAGTTTGACAGATTTGAGCGACTGTGAAGACAATTCCGTGTCGTTTTACATTATTCAATGAATTGGAGTTGAAAGGTTCATAAGGATTGATAATCGCTTATAAAGAATTTTAGGTGGAACGAAGTTCACCGGGTCATCTAGTATATTATATTTATCTTAAGTTAATATTCTTAAAAACAGATATATTTAGCATAATTCTACATACTTAAGACTCTTTTAATACATAATATGTATAAGCTATATGGGGCAAAACACCTCAAGTGTTCCCACATACAAATTATGTTGTCTCCGATTTTAACAAAACTTTGCCAAATAATTGTCTTATTGGACTACCTTAATTTTCCAAATGGGGGGGCAAAAGGGATTAGCGGGTTGCAGAGATACAGGGGCCTGAAATTTTTTTTTTCTCGTGCGCTTAAAAGACGTCGAAATATTCATGTACCTATATAATATATTTTTTTTTAATTGATAATCAACATATCGTATAGCATTTTTTCCACGCTTTACGATAAAAATGGTCTCAAAAGCGAGAAAAAATTTTTTGGTTATAAAAAAACGATTTTATACATTGAATTGAAAAAGCTTTCTTTTGATATTAATTTTAAAAAAATCCAATGTGTCGCATTTCGAGAAAAAAACAAATATATTTAACAATGATCTGGCAAAGTTTTGTTAAAATCGGAGAAAACATCATTTTTAGGTGGGAACACTTGAGGTGTTTTGCCCAATATGTATATTATACATATAACATTTACCGTATTTTCAAGATAAAGTTATACAGTGCCAAGTGCACCTGAACGCTTTAAAAGAGAGGGATATTTTGCAGCGTCGACGGCACACCGCGGTATGCCATCGCTGCTGCAAAATATCCCCGCTCTTTCAAGGCGTTAGGATACACTCAGCACTTGACAATGTATACTTTAAGCTTGAAAATATGATATATGGGGCAAAATTTGCCAAGTGTACCAGGTGAAAAAAATTTTGTCACGGATTTTGTTTAAACTTTACTTATTTGTTGTTCTTATAACGAAGAATCATAGCATAAATTTTTTTTGCTCTAGGATTGTTCATTCAAGAGTTATGGATTATTGAAATTTATCGATTTTTTACTTTTTGGTGAAATCGCTTTTTATTTAAAAATTCATAACTTCTGTTCATCTCTTTATTAAATATTTAAATTTAACCACCTTAAATGATTTTTTCCGTACTTTTCAATGGGCTATACCGTTTTGCAAAAAAATAAAAATTGCAATTTTTTTTTGAAATTTTGCAAAATTTTACATTTTTTGAAACAATGTGTATTTTTTAATTTTTTTTAAAGTAGCATAAAATCAAAGTTTATTATGTTACCTTTAAATAAAAAAAAAATTTAGAGTGGGCCCGACATGTAGAAGGGAAGTTTTTCATATTTGAATGCAGCACGGTCTAGCTTTCGAATAGCTACTACACTGCCGTATGCGTTTCTACCTAGTAGATGCGAGTAAACGAATACAAAATGATAATTTAAAATGTAAAATTATGTTTGAGTAGTCAATGATGTATTTTAAATATTTACACTGCCGCACGATATAGTTTTTTTTTATTGTGTATTAGTCCTTCGGAGGGGACTTTAAGCCCGCGGTCCGTTCTTACCCCTAACCCGCACAAGCCATTCAGTTGGCTTATGGGACTTCTTAAGAAGTAAGGGTGGAACTAAAAGAGCACTTTTGTATATAAACTGTATTTTTTTGCACAAATTGTTTAAGCATGGGTCTACATAGATTTCGCAAGGAGAGTCGATGATATTAAATAAAAAATGTATTGTTATAACCGTAAAGGCTTATAGGCAAGCCGTTACGGTTATAACAATAAATTTTTTATTTAATATCATCGATCCTCCTTGCGAAATCTATGTAGACCCATGCTTAAACAATTTGTGCAAAAAATACAGTTAAAAAACTATATCGTGCGGCAGTGTAAATATTTAAAATACATCAATGACTACTCAAACATAATTTTACATTTTAAATTATCATTTTATATTCGTTTACTCGCATCTACTAGGTATAAACGCATACGGCAGTGTAGTAGCTATTTGATGGCTAGACCGTGCGGCATTCAAATATGAAAAACTTCCCTTCTACATGTCGGGCCCACTCTAAATTTTTTTTTTATTCAAAGGTAACATAATAAACTTTGATTTTATGCTACTTTAAAAAAAATTAAAAAATACACATTGTTTCAAAAAATGTAAAATTTTGCAAAATTTCAAAAAAAAATTGCAATTTTTATTTTTTTGCAAAACGGTATAGCCCATTGAAAAGTACGGAAAAAATCATTTAAGGTGGTTAAATTTAAATATTTAATAAAGAGATGAACAGAAGTTATGAATTTTTAAATAAAAAGCGATTTCACCAAAAAGTAAAAAATCGATAAATTTCAATAATCCATAACTCTTGAATGAACAATCCTAGAGCAAAAAAAATTTATACTATGATTCTTCGTTATAAGAACAACAAATAAGTAAAGTTTAAACAAAATCGGTGACAAAAATTTTTTCACCTGGTACACTTGGTAAATTTTGCCCCATATACAGGCTCTGGTACCTAAACCGTTTGAGATATTTTAGTGGAACAAAGAATACCTTGTTTAACCATGAAGGTGCTTTAAAATAATAGTGCAAAAACCCAACCCTAAAAAGTCACCCCTTCATCCTAAAATTTGAAATAACATAATATAACATTATCTATTTAACTTTTTTTCAAATGAAAATCGTATTTACATACATACAAAGTTATTTTAGTTATTATTGTATTCTTACTTTTTGGATGAAGCATTATCAAGCTTTCGGTAGTGCTCCATAATTTTTTCCTCCAACTTCTCCTTTTGTCTACAGAGATTATTTACTTTATCAGTAAACAATTTTTCTTCTAAATGATAATGTTGCTTGTCTTCCAAGGAATGGGTTAACAAGGAGTGGTATTGAGAAAGCAACTGAGAAACATGATCCATTAAAACGCGTCTATCCGAGTCCAAAGAATGGTTCATTTCAAATAACATCTATAAAAAATTGTCGTATATTCCTGATTCAATCAAATATTGTTAAACTAACATCACATTTTTGTTGTAATTTAGCATTTTCCAATTGTAATCCAGACACTAAATCTGACCTTGTGTTTAGTTCACCCTGCATTTCAGTTTGACCCAGTCTGAGTGTTCTAGACTCAGTTCTAACATTTTTTAATTCGTCTTGAACTGCTCTGTATTCCACTTTTAACCGTTCACTAGCAGTAAAAAGATTTCTGAAGTCGTCCTAAAAAGTTTACATAATTTTTATTTATTATTAAATGTGTATACAAAATGTACTTACCTTTAATTTTGAATGTTCTGCCCTCAAATTGTTTAAACTCTGCGCATCGGATTTGATTGATTCATTTTCGATTTCCAAGGACAAAACTTTATTTTCATGTTCATCGTTCTTTTCCCTTAACGTTCTTATTTCCGAGCGCAAATCCCTGTTCATTTTTCTCAGAGATTCTTGCTCCTTCTTTAGGTCCTCATATTCTGTGTTTAATTGCTCATGTATCGTCCTTAAAGTGACTTGATCAAAAAGTAGCGTGTCATGTTGGTGATTTTGAATTTCCTGTTTTTTACTCAGCTCATCTTTTTCTGCAACCAATTGACTATTGGCAAGCTGCAAAGCGGTTTGCTGCGCTTGTAGAGAATTAATCTGCGATTTATACGTTGAAATGTCCACTTGCATTTTGGCGTTTTCGTTCTGTAAAACCCCATTTACATTTTGTAGATTAACAATATCGGCGCTGAGTTTGTCGCATTGATCGCTCCATTCAGCTTTAATGGAAGCTACAATTTCTTCTGTTTTTAGTACGTCGCTTTTGCTGATCTTTTCCGTGCACTTTTTGCACATTTCTTTTTCTCCTTCCCTTTCTTTAACTATTGAAGTAAGGATTTTCGATAGATCTGGGTTGTTTAGCATTTTTTCCACAATTATATTCAGGTCGTTGTCTAAAATATCCAGGCTTAGACCTAGTTTCTCTAGATTCTTTTTGAACTTTTCATTGTTTACTTTTTCATTGACAAGGTCCTTTTGAAGGGTACTAATAGTTTCAGTATGTATTGAGAATTGTGAAAGTAACTCTTGAGCCTTTTGTTCAAATTCTTGAAGTTTTTCTAGTTGAGTAATGATATTTTGGTTTTCTTTGGTTAACTTTAATAAATCCTTTTCATACTTATTGTTCTTTTCAATTTCCTTATCTAAAGTGACATCTTTTACTTCAACCAATTCCTTTAACTTGCTAACTTCCTTTTGCATGCCACCATTTTCTTTTTCCAAAGCACTTATTTTATCTTTAAGTTCTTTGCTCAACTTTTCGTATTCCTGTCCCTTATCTGCCTGAACTTGTAAACTGTGGAGCTGCTCTGAAACTTGCGTTACCGATTTTTCAGCATCATCAGCCCTTTTTCGTATAGAATCGCACAACGTATGTATGCGTTGCTTTTCCTTGGACAATGTTTCGATATTCTTTTCTAAATCGTTGATTTTAGTTTTTTCGTTTTGTAAATCTTGATTTTGCCGGTCCGATATAATTTTATTTGTATCGACACTATCTTGCAGCTTTCTATTTTCTTGTATAGCGTTTTTAAATAAGTTTTCTAGTTCACCGTTTTGTTGCGTTAGTCTTTCGCAACCTTCTTGTAGCTGCTCGCATTTCAGGAGCAACTTTTTCTTTTCCTTTTCCAAGTCCAAGATTTTATTGGAACTTTCATGGAAGTTGTGCTCTTTCAAGGAATCTATGGTGGACGTTAGTTTTTTAATTTCCAATTCTAGTTTTAGCGCTCTAGCCTGAGCGTTGTTTGTTAATTGCTCGGACAAACTGTTATCCCCCGAGTTGGTTTCTTCATTTTCCGAATCCACGCTTATATTTAAGGTGCTTGTTTCTTGTAGCGCGGACTTTGTTACTTGTTGCAACTGAATATTCTCTTCGATCAACTCTTGCACTTTTTCTCGTGCCGCGTCTCTTTCCAAAGCAATTTCGTTGAGGTTTTGCTTGGAGGTCAACAACTCGGCTTCCAACTCTAGCACTTGATCGCCACGTTGTCTGGCCCTGGCAAGTTGAGTCTCTAACATCTCCCTGGTTTCTAGTAGAACTCTGTTGTCTTCTCTTAGCTCGTCCACTCGTATTTTGTAGAATTCGGCGTCTGCAAGCCGTTCACGGTATCGTTGAACTTCGGTTTCTAGCCGATCTGCCCGTTCGGCCCTCTCGCGCATTGCGTCCACTTCATCACGATAGGCCTTGGCTCTACGAGCTTCAGCTAACAAATCGTTGTTCTAAAAGAAATATTAAAATAACAGGGTGGACACTTTTTTAAAAACCTAATGTTCAAAGGAATTTTATTGGTTTATTTTCTTAGTGTAACTTATTTAAATTTTATTTTTAATTTTGTTGCAGTAGAGTGGACAATACCTTAATCAGACATAATAAAAACACTATTTACAATAGCTGTTCAACTCTGCAAAAGCCCCTCTGACCTAGAAATGGAAGTAAAAAACATCACACACACCTAGGGATGTAAAATGACGGTCATTTATTTATGTGACACTTGTATGTCATTTATATGTCATTTTTGTCATTTATTGTCATTTATGGTCATTTTTATTTCCTTATCTTTAATGAATATCTATAGATATAGAAGCATCAGACAAGTGGCAAGTAACTAAAACATTAATAGACATAAACTTAAACATACATGTATTTGAAAAAAAAAAAACAAAATTTAAACAAAATCAAAAAATTAAATAAAAATCCTAGTAGAATATAAAGATATGTGACTGGTTTAAAACCAGTTATAATCAAATTTTTTAGTTAGATTTATAGTCATCGACATCAAAGTCATCTAATGACTTGTGCAGCTTCCATCTCCTGGCTTGGGGCGGCATCGATCTAACGTTTTTTTGTGTTCGCGTCGGGCGGGTGATATCGAAAGTCAGCTGATATTTTTGTGACCGTCATATATTTTTGTGACTGTCATATATTTTAATGACGGTCAGTTATTTTTTTGACAGTCAAAAATTTCAATTGTAAAAAGTTAATGACAAGGGTGTATAAAAATAAATGATAGTCAGTTTCATTATGACCGTGACATGATATTGTCATAACAATTTGCTTACATCCATACACACACCATTTTTAAATTCCAGGCACGAAACAAAACAATACAGGATAACACTCAGAATACATTTCTCACCATCATATCGAAAAAAAAATCTTTTTTTTTAAATGGACATGTTTGTTTATGACCAGATTGCATGTACATTTTTTCTACAGTGTGTCCATGGTTTGAGTTGCAAGAGGAAAAACTTTTTATTATGATTTTAACGAAAAAAAATCATTCCTCATAAAAATGTATGCTTGTATAAAACATGTGAATCTCAATAAAAATGTTTGAACCAAATGTACATGGTGTTCAAAAATTAAGAATACATGAAAACTCTTTAAGACAAAAGTAACCTGCATCTTTCTTGTTTTACACACTAAAATCCTTTAGAAACACAATTTTTTTTGTAAAAAAACAAAAATCGTGATACTTAACTGCTTTGAGTGTGCCATATAAATGACAAGTGACTGGATGGAGAGCTGTGATTAGTTGGTTGGACAAACAGTTTGCCCCTGACTGGACATTTTTGGTTTTGATCAGACCTCTTGTTTTAGGGTCTCATTTTAAATCTAAGAATTCTAAGAAATGGATCTTTCAATTTTCTGGAGTTTTTCTAGACATGTTTACAAAAACTAAAAAAATAATGGTGAAGAGTGCACCATGCCATTAAAAAATGCAAAGAATTCAGAATAACTTTTTAGGATACCTTATAGCTAAATATAATTATAGGAAGCTCTTATTGCATAAACCAAACTTACAAATGGTTGTTAAAGGAAACAGATTTTGAAAACAATATATCTTTAGGACATAAATGGCTCTTGACATCCATCAAGCATGATGTGCAAGCTCAAAAATTCTTTATAATCGTCTCATGGTTGCTGTTTTTTTCTCAAAATATTAAATAAAGGATTCTAAAACATGCCAATATAAGCTGCGCTTTTAGTAGTTTGATCAATAGTTGGTAACGCTTTCTGGACCATCAGTACTGCAGCTGCCGAAAGTATAAGCTCCATGCCATCAATCCAGACAAGTTTACGTTCAAGAATTTTTTTAAAGCTCCAATGTGGAGACCAGTACAACTTGCAGTATTGCCAACAGAAGATGTACTAGTTCTATCAAAAGCCTAAATAAAATCTACCAGAAATCAGATCGGACCAGTGTGATTAGATAAACCCCCCCTTTTTTGAACTACTCAAATATATATCGCAAACTTTCAAAATTTCCACATTAAAAATTTATTTTTATGTTTATATAAAGAAAATATGAAAAACTTAAAAGATAAATATAACGCAACATTCAGGTTTTTTTACACTTAAGGAACCGTCCATAAATTACCGTACCGTACGTCATACATTTTTTGGGCACAAAGTCTAACCCCCTTCACCCAAGGTCACACGTCACACCCAGATTTATTATTTTCCTTTCTTTTATATTATAAATCTTAATAATTTAATTAAACAATTTTTTTGGATAGGTACAGCTTTTGTTCTAGCATCTTTGCAAATTTTAAGTAGGTCAGTAAGACTTTCATCGAAAGGGAGTATAATATATTATATATAGTTTTTAAGTTGATTCACGCATGTTTAATAACAGTGTTTATACCGTTGAGTGAAGAAGTGGGGAAGAGGCGTGGTCTAATAAATTTAAAATAACCCCTAAATCAAATATGAATTATTTGAAGGATTCCCGTGGGAGTTCATGTTTAATATTAAGAAAATTTAATTAAAATGAATACTAGGAGGCGCCATAGTCGATTTATTATGAGATTTCGAATCGAGTGAGACCGTTAGAGTGAGACAGTAAGAAACGCGCCATCATCAGCATTCCCACTTTCTACGCTGACAAGTTAATGCCGCATGCATCGTTAAGTGAAGGTCGAATAGAATTTAGTTTCCTTACTACCATAGACGAGGAACTACTATTCGTAATACTTTAGCAGAAATGAATAATTTACTGACAAATACTTGTTTATATAACAAATGTTTTTTAAAAAGAAGCCAAACTAGCTTTGTATTTTTTTCGATTTCCAATAAAAGACACGAATGGTGTGAAATTTCGAAGAAAAATTCCGGAAATCCACTTTTATTGGATTTATATTATAATGATCTAAAATTTAAATGTATTTGTGAAAAACATTTTTTGCCGCAGGAAATTCTTATTACAAGCAAACGAAAATGTTTAGCAAACACAGCTGTACCCATTTGTTTTAAGGTATAACGTAACATTTTTTAATAATTAATTCTTTAAACGCATTAAAAAATTTTATATTCTGTATATAAAAACCGAAATCAAACTAGTATCAATTGCAATAATATCGTTGAGTGAAGAATCAATGGTTTATGCCATTGAGTAAAGAAGTGGGGAAGAGGCGTGGTCTAATGTATTTAAACTAACTCCAAAATCCATCCTGGTTGTTAGAGGCGCTATAGTCGATTTTATCTTGAAATTTTAATTCTAAATTAGAGTGAGACCGTTAGAGTGAGACAGTAAAAAACGCGTCGTCATCAGCATCCCCACTTTCTATGCATGCACCGTGAAGGTCGACTGGTTTGTTCTGTGGTCGACTGGATTAAATTCAATTCAGCTATATTTGTTATATGATTCAGTTTGCACAAAGCAATTGCTGAAGTAGGTTATTGTACTTAATTCGTTAGCGAAAATGAATAATTTACCTACAAATACTTGTTTATATAAAATTAACTATTTATTATTTACAATTTTTGGTCATATCGAAAAATTAATAATTATGTTATTATCTATTTATTAAAAAATAATTTCATGTTTGTTATGAATAACACAGCCACACAAAAAAAAAAAGTGTCGTGATCTGGGCATGGGACATATGCTTTCCGATGTCAGAATTTCTCCTCCAGGTCAGCGTTTCAACTTAACCTCAAAAAACGTGAACAAGTTATTATTTCCTGTTCTGGGGATGAGGCATGTCGATTCTTATGTTTCTCGATGTACTGAATGTAAATAAGCTCTCAGAATCGATCACACACGTTGTTCTTTTGACTCTAACCTAATGCCTTCAACTAATGCCTTGAAGGCTGTTTTTTTTTAAAGCCTATATCAGCGGAGTCTCATTCTCAAGGAACCTAACCTAACCTGGCCTAATATAACCCTTATCTTCCATCGCCGATTTTTCAGATTATATTCCTTCAAAATGGTAAATTAAAACACAGACATTATTGGTATCAATGTCTGAAAATTCAAATTAACATTCAACATTTGGTTTTTGCGTTATCATTTGTGAAGCTTACCTGATAACTTGAGTCTTAAACATTTTCATATTTCATTGTTACTTCGAGGAATTCGATTTTTTAAGTTGATTCTTTGGCAATCACAATAAGTACACGTGGTTACAGTGTTTCCATTCTGAAGCTGTCAATGTTCTTAGCGTTGTAGTTTACTACCTGAAGCTCATAATTTCTTTTTTTTATGTTTTGATGAAATCTTAGTTGACGACATATCAAAAATTGATTGAATGTCTTCAGAGACATAAAAGAGAGAATAAAACAGTAAATTTCATATTCATTTCGTTGTAAAGACATTGCTTATCGTGTTAAAATTTACCTTTTTACAGAATAGTAAAATCTGCGATAGAAGATAAGGGTTATATAAGGCCAGTTTAGGTTAAATTAGGTGATTTAAGGTTAGGTTAGGTGAGTTAAAGTTAGTTTACGTCAACTGTAATGAGACTCCGCTAATATAGGCTTTCAAAAAAAAACTAGCATTCAAGGCAGTAAGTATATCACAATTTCAGTATATTTCATTTCATTGCGTTTTTTCGAGGTTAGAGTCAAAATAACAACGTGTGCGATCGATTCTGAGAGATTATTTACATTCAATGCATCGAAAAACATAAGAATCGACATGCCTCATCCCCAGAACAGAAAATACTAATTTTTTCACGTTTTTTGAGGTTAGGTTGAAACGCGGACCTGGAGGACAAATTTTGACATCGGATTCGGATTCAGCGCGTCAAAATCCATAGGAAAGCATATGTCGCATCCCCAGATCACGACACTTTTTTTTTTGTGTGGCTGTGTAATTAATAGGGAGCTTTTAAGCCTCTTATTTAACGTTTGCATCACGTTATCCCCAGGTAGCACAACGTGACGAAACCGTGACGATTTGTGTCCATTGTGTCCATTTGGACACAAATCGTCA